ATCAAAACAAGACTTTTTCTGAACGTTTCGCTGTGTAAGCCACAGCTTCTTTGGCAGACTCGGCGGTCAAATTATTCCAGGAAGTTTGTAACACCTACGGCCTCGGGAAACCAAGAAAGTAGAGATGGATTGGACACTCGCTGAGGAGGCCGCTGGGTGACATCGCGCGTTAGGCCATGGCTCGAGTGGAACCCGAAAGGGAAGCGGTGAGTGAGACGTCCAAGGGTTACATGGAGGAGATCGTGTGAAGAAGATTTGAAACAGTATGTACTAACATGGATGCAGGTGTAAAGTACAGCAGAAGGCAGAAACAAGTGGAGACGTGCAGTTGAAGCCCTATGTTCCACTAGGAACTGTAGGGAACAATAATGATAATAACTGATAACATGTAGCTTAGAACAAGCACAACTTTTAGCTAGAATTCACAAGCAAATAAGTAGATCTAATAAGATTATTAATTCGCGAAAAATTATCAAGTTGCATCAATTTCCATCTGAATCATTTGCTGACTTACAAATAAATTTGTTTATAGTTCAACAATTATTCTTATTAAATAAGCATACCACGTTTAAATGTTAAAACACTTCTGTGAAATAACTGTCAATAAAATTAATTAGCATTGTGTTTCAACATTGAACATTGAATTACAAGTAATTTAAACAAACTAACTAGCTAACTCTGTACACTATCCAAAGCACAAAACAGAAAATATTTAAAACGAGCAGTGTAGCTTAGTTAAGTCAATCATTCTATTTTATAATTGATAATATCAAATCATAGAAGATACTAAAAAGATGGTTCCAGAGAAGCAAATTTACTTTTCGACGAAGTGAACAACATTCGTGTATTTATAGTAAGTGGGTGAGAAAGTTCTAGGACTATTTGTGGTCAGGGGTTAAGACTGTAGCAAAACCAAAATACAGAAAAAATCCCTATTTATCATATTTAGAAAACAGAAAGATTGAGCGAAGAAATATTTACTTTTGAATTAGATCCTCATCTCTCGCCCTACTCTAGTATATATATAGCATTTTTATTACAATGCACAACAATCTACCAATCAAGTGGCACTGATGTGTTTGTTAACAATGATTAGTCAGTATCGACACGTCAATGGGGTGATAATTAACGAAGAAAATTAATACACACACAATTAAAAGGTAGAAACGGTTACAACACGTGGATTGCATAATGCATAATTTTGGAAAGATGAAGAGCAATTAAGGCATGAGCGTGTGCACAGGTTGATTGCATAACAGATTCCTAAAGAAAAACAAGACAATTTGGGGAATGATAACATTTAACCAAAGATGAAGTAGTCTGAAAAGTGATAAAATAACTTGGACAATTACAACAGAGCTTTAGCACACCTTGTAGATAGCGAGCATAAAATTGACGTTTATACAGCATTTAAAACTATTTATCGCATTCCTACTAATCTTAATTTTGCTTTACGAGTTCGTCTTCTAAATATAGCTGAAACAATAGGAATCCACCTGAAGAAGCCAAACCTATATGTGCTCAGAAGAAATTTGTACAGCCACTTTCCTTACCTTGGCCATTGCTACGTGAATGTATAAACCGGGCTACTTTACCCCCCTCTCCTTAAAATTTTAAAAATAATAACTGTCCAAGTTATTTTATTATTTTTCTTACTACTTCATCTTTAGTTACAAGTTATCATTGTCAAAATCGTTTTATTCTTCTTTAACAATCTGCCATGTAATCAACCTGTGAACACGCTCATTCCTTAATTTTTTTGATGCTCGTTAGTGACTTTCTACAGGATGGAGTTTCCTGGAATTCTAATGACAAGTCATGATCAGTGAGGTCCATTCAGTCACGTGTGAGGATGGATGTCCCATTGATGATGACATTGGTTGAGGTCGCGCTGAATCACGAATTGGTAGAAGTTAGAATTTATGGGCTAGCCACTGAATCGGGTCCCAGTGGCTGTATGGTATGCAACCTCGCCTTGTAACCGGGAGGTCCTGGGCTCGAACCCCACTCTGTGGGTGCGTACTGCCGATGGTTCACAGACTAGCATGAAACAGCTGGCTGTCCAGTACTCCCTGCTGGTTTCCAATGGTTCTCTAACTGATATCAATCCGCGGTCAAACTAAAAAAGCAAATCTAATCCCCACAAACCAACTCTTGATATCTAACTCTTTGCAATATCGAAAACACAAAACAGAAATATTTAAAACGAGTATTGGTTTAGTTAAGTTAGGGAGTCATTGTATTTTATATTCCATTTACATCAAATCATGGGAGAGACTAAAAAGATGGTTGCAGAGAAGCAAATTTACTTTCCGACGAAGTGATCAACATTCGTGGGAGTGAGAAATTTCTAAAACCACTTTTTGTCAAGGGTCAGATTAATAAGATTACAAATAGGAATTAAAAATGTAGCAATGACAAAAATGACAGAAAGTTTGGATAAAAACGGTAATGTTATAGCCACTGTTGAGAAAATTGACGAAAGACGTACAAGTCGCCCCCAAGAAGAAGATTCCGTTTAATCCCGAATTTAAAAATAATACTGAAGCGGAAATTCTCTATAAACGGCTTTGAAAAATTCTCAGTTAAATATACTTTGCCGGCAGCATACGAGTAACATTCTGTTGCAAGAAACCACTCAATCAGCATATGAAAGACACGCTGTTGTACTGGGTCCCCTTCGGCATGCATACACCAGTTTATTTGCTCCGAACATCCTGTTTATTTCTGTTATATCCACGTTTTTCAATCGCCATTTGCACTACTATGTTTCTTTTTATGCAAACTCCAGTCTACTATGTTAGTACGGCATTCTTAATCCATAATTCCACAAAAAGTCGATCTTATCAGTGATTATGATCTCGCTACGTTTTTTATCCAACATTCCTGTTAATTGTTACACTTTAAGCCTTATCTGAAATTTTATTAATCTGACCAGAAATAGTTCTGGGACTTTCTCACCAACACACGAATGTATAGCCTAGTGGACGATTTCACTGAGAAGAAAAATTTTCTTCGCTGCAACCGTCTTTCTAATATCCCCTATGATATCATATGCATATTCCGAAAACCTTTATCAACTGGTTTTCTATTAGGGTGGCAATGTCTTTCTCTTCCAGATAGCTCTTTGAACCTTATGTTGTGTTTTAAGTGAAAGTACTTTAGTTTACTTTCGCAAAATAATTTTGTAATTATGGTCTTATTACACAATATTTAAGTGTAGAGTAAAAACTTCAAGGTACAATGACATAATTTTGGAAGGATGATACTTTCATTTAACGCTTCGTCAGGCTATTTAAGTTTTTAGTGAAAAAAAAACAAACAGTTTTTGTTCAGCAAAGAAATATTTCTTTTTCCAACCCCTTGATTTTCAAGCTAACTGTACAGTTGTATCTATGTTATGGGAAAAGGCATAAAACGGGGCACCAAAAGATTGCTTAGTCAGTATTGCGCACATTAAAATAATTTACTAAGGGGGGTAGAGTTGAAGTGGATGAACTACAAAACTTTTAAAAATTATTAAATAATTGAACTGGTATAAAGATTTTACAATTGTAGGTCAAGTGTTGTCTAAAAAATTAACAGTGTGATGATGGAAACAATAAACATGGTGAAGATGTGAAGTGAAGTGGAATGAATTCAAGTGGTGAAATAAAAATAAAACAAAAGAACATAACTATGATCGAGGTAAAGAAAGGCGTTTAACAAAACGGTTTTGAACACATAATCTAGGTTTCCGCCCATGTATAGCTAGAGCTTCGGCTATGCATAAGTGGTGAAAACGTAAACTTTTAGAGGGATTGGGTTTGGTCCTGTAGATAACTTCAAAGGATAAATCAAGTGTGACTGAATGACCTGATCCCAAAATGTGTTCACAAACTGAAGATTTCACTGTTCTTTGCTCACCTTTCACTTACGGAGAACACACTTTTCTATTTCAGTTTTGCCTGCTCTGTAAGATGTCTCCTTATTAATAGTGATACAGAATGATTCATCATAAAAGATACATAGTGAATTGTCAGGTAAATGTACTTTGTTCAAAACGCGATGTTGTACACTAGTGATATTTCGGACAGTCCTCAAATCAACAAGTAGGGCTCGCTAACCAACCAGAACAGCAGATTGCCGTACTGCTCGTGCTCATTACTACTGTGGTGAGAGCTGGCTGCTAGCCAAAGTGGGTAGACAGTAATAGACGTCAATGTTTATGTCCCCAATATTGGTGATGGTGAGAAAATGAGAACAAAGGCTTTGCGTAGGCGGATACAGTTAGCTTATGGATGATCTGACACAGCCACAAAAAGATGCAAGGTTAACTTTCTGTGAGAAACAACCAATCAAAAGACTGTATTTTCCACTAACAATAATCTACAATAATGTACATTAAAGTCTATAAATATGTGTTGATTTTCCATAATAAACGAACGATCTGTTGCCTGGCCCTTGTCTTCTGTTGTCACACTACTTGACTTGACTCAGTTTAGAGTGTCGAATGACTTGAAGACATCTGAATTCTGGCTAGCTACTTGACTGCCATTAATGATGTCCAGCAAATCACATACAATAAGTTTTGTAAAAGATTTCATATTTCGAAGGGAATCGCGGTAATATTTCAACTCAAACTGTGTGAATTGCAAGTCGCAAATTAATTCGTGGATTGTGCACCTTGTTCAACTCAATATCTAAAGTTATCTACTAAAACGTTTTCAAATATCTGCAGAAATGTTTCACACAGTGAATCATTTTTAGAATATGATTCACATTTCCATAATGTTTCTAAGAGGAGTCGAACCAGAAGATTTCCTCAGTTAATAGAATTCAGACGTTCTACAGAACTGAACCTTTCTCACACATTTACCACAAAATACACGAATGTACAGCCTAGTTGATGACTCCGCTGAAAAGAGAATTTTCTTCTCTGCAACCATCCTTTTAATATTTTACTAACACGTAATTTCCCTAATAAATGACAAAATGTACATAATATATATCACACTTACCTATCACAGAATCTGTGTTCACATTGGTATGCGTCTGATAATGACTATTGGCGTAATGCGTTACTCTGAAATTTGAGCTACAATTTGATAACTTTCCCTTATTACACACATTATTCAATGTAACCGATTGTGAATAGCTCTCATCACACTGTCGTTGTTGTTGTCTTTGTTGTTGTTGTTGCTGAGATGTTGTCGACAAATCCCCCCTTTCCACTATTTCATCATTCACACATTCCTGACATTTATCCGCTCTGATACGATACATAAAGTCACTAGATTGTTGAGTTATTTGTGAATTAAAACTCACGCTTGACTTCTGTCTACATTTTCTATCTACATGATAAGCATACAAGGGACAATAAGTTTCATTTGGTAGTGCAGAGCTTGAAGAATTCCGCTTTATAACAATAAATCGTACAATTTGTTCCCAGACTAAAATCACCATAATCCAGTTGGGTGTATACTCAAGGACGCATTCTAAAAATGTAAATATTGAGCATGGAATAAGGCCCAGATTTTGTATTCCATGGAAATTTTTCAGTTTACCGTTAATACTAGCAATACCACTTGTCTGATAACTACTCACATTGTTACCGCCTATATTCTTTTGTGTAGTAGTAGTATCTCTGTTAAAATCTGTCTGCTCTGTCATATAATTACCATACAGTATTAATAAATTGACTATTAATTTCGGTAAATCTGATATAAATATATGCAATGTCTTTAAAATTGAATAGGCCGCCAATAAAAACCAGACAGAGATTTGTTTATTCTTACGACTCAGCGCACTATAAACTGGACAATTTAAACAAATCATTGTTAGAATATTTAAAACATTTATCAATGGAATAAGTGTATCCTTTAGAATAGTTTTTAATAGATATCTTTCTGTAGAATTAGACCATTGAGTAAAATAATATTGTCCGAAATACTGACTACTCTCAAGAAAGCATAGATGATTAATCAGTGTTGTTGTCTTATTGTGTTTCACTGTTGAATCATTCAACAAGGGGGAATTTTCAATGTTCAATAGCTTAAAAAAGGCTTCTTCTTTAACTGAATCATTTTTTAGCGATTCAGTTAATAATTTTCGACATAATAATCCACGATTAACTAATGATATAACATTGTTAGTATTTCTGTTGTCATTAGATCCAGCCTCATCATTAGAGCTTTGTTCTTTATCCAATGCATTCAGTTGGCGTAGATCAATAAATTGGGATATAAGATGTTCAATAGTTATCCTGTCATCATTGTGTACAGTTGTATAATTTTTGATAAATTCATTCATTTCTTCCCTTTCACTTTCTGTCTCTCCACCACTTGATGACAACATCAATGATGGTATTGCTAAGGTGGATATGTGTTCACTGGAGTTCACAAAGACTAAAAGACAACTCTGTAAAATTAAAACAATATTTCCTGGTGAATGCATTGATTTAATACAGTGTAAGTACTGTGATGAAATTGACTAGCCAGTGTGTTATTATCCACCGGTAATTTCTTTTTAAGATATAATCAAGTTTATTACACCAGTGATGAATATTTTAAATTTTAAATCAGACACAGTTGATTTGTTATGTATTCCAACCAATATAATTTTATCCTGCATGCCAATTGGTTGAGACTTTTTGTGACTCGTTTCTTCCACTCAGCTGCCCCATATATTTATCCAATAGGATTTAGCCACGGTTATTTCTTCTTTATTGCTTGATTGTATACACAGATATTGTCTTAAAAAAATTAATTATGTTGAACAAAGCAAAAACAACAATTGTACCAGGATAATATGAGCTCATCTTTTATTATCACGAGGATTCTTCCCAGCTGGCTGGCTACAACCTGAACAATACAAAAGGATAAACTACAATAAACATTTCAACACACTTTCCACGATGACCAGGAGTATTTGATAGGAACTGGGACTAATATAAGTCCAGAGTGATTGCAAATTGTCAAATAATTAAGAGTGAAAAAGATTGATTATTTATAGGATAATTGGACAGAATGAAAGAGTTCAACCGATTTTTTTTGTGTGGATAGAAACAAATTCTAACCGATGGCAGTTCATGATGAAGTCCTCAAACCAATCAAATCCCTGCAAACCAACACTTCACTATCAATCTGAAGCTCACTAGTGACTGGTGCTATTCAGGTAGGTAGTAACCTGGATTCTAGTGGGAATTCGTGAACGGTGGGATACAGCAGGTCGGATGTGAGGGCAAATACTTGCCAGCGATGACATTGGCTAGTGCTACCTATAATCGTGTATTGGCAGAAGTTGGAATTCATGGGGTAGCCATTGGATCGGGTCCCAGTGGCTGAGTGGTCTACGAACTAGCCTTGGAACTAGAAGGTCCAGGATCCAAACCCTGGCGATGGATGCATACAGATGTAGAGTCCCAAACTAGGACGAAATGGCTGTCTAGTACTCCCCGGCTTCTCTAGCCGACATCAGTTCATAATGAAATCCTGAAACCTATCAAATCCCTGAAAACAAACATTTGAGATTTTAACTAGAAGGAGCACAATAAATAGTTGGTTGCTCAACTACAGAAAATTTGTCGCCATAAAGTAGCGAAAATGGGGAAAGGGGTTGTAGGTTGAGTCATTTTTAGATGAAAGAACAAAAAAATTTCTGAACAGGAAGAGATTACATAATTAGATTTGTGTACCATTTCATCCTCAAGGCATTGCAATAGTACACAGATTTAGCTTTAATTGTTCGATGGCAATTGCTTCAGCGAAACGCAGCAAGCTAGGTTTCTTTAGTCTGCTGATTATTTTGAACGCCTTCAGGCTATCCAATGCATGGCCAGAGTTCAATAGATAGCTCACAATCACACACTTAATCTTAGGTTCCTTAGTATGTGTTCAGAAATGCAGACGGTAGCATTTCTCTCTGTTCTTTCAATATATATCCTTTGGTATGTACATGCAAACAGGCAGACATGAGATGGAAAATTGCCCATTTCTCAGTGTCTTAGACAACTGGTCGTTCGATAAACACGTGCAAGCTTGGAGAATGAATATGACTTTTTAGTCTAGGTTTCGGTCAGTATCTTATTCTACGAGCAGCAGAATTACCACCTTTGAAGGCAAACGCCAGAAATACAGACCTTTTCTCTACGGTGCTGAATTTTCCTTTTTCATCACTACGTTTACCATGTATGCCGATGTGTTTCTGTGGATAATCATTACCATGAAGGCATTTTCCCACAATAAAAGACTCTTCCTCGAGCTTTTGATCTGAGCAAAGCTTACTCACACGATCAAACAGTGTTCTTACCAGTCCTTTTTTGTAACTTACAAGGCAGAAGCTTTTGAGGTTCATATAAACTCTCCTCTTTTCTGTGGATGTCTTTATCATATTGGATATCATAGTCAAGAAAATGAAACTTGTACTCATTTTAATAATGAAAGATGGGCTGATATTATTATCCTGGCATATATGTCCTTCCTCCTTCGTTCAAATTTATGAAAGAGAAGAACTAAATGAAGTTTTCAAACTAACTCTATCAGAGAACGTAAGCTGGCTTAACTAAAGCGGCCCGCATTGAATCCATTATCATTATTATTGTTTCCTTTAGCTCCTACAGGAACATAGGGCTTCAGCCGCGCGTCTCCATTGGGTTCGATTCCCTGCGAACGTTTTCACCTGGCTCCACGTCTGCCCACATGCTTCCATCTCCTCTTCGTATGACCGATTCACCTCCATTTCTTCCTGCCTATTTGTTTCACAATTGGTTCCTGATGGGTTGGTTCGCTCCCAGATATCGCTCCCTGTTGCTGATCGTTTCTGGCCATCTGATCTTGATTAGTATTGAGCGAAGACAAGCATTGATGAACCTCTTTAGTTTGTTTGAAGTGCTCTTCATGAAGCGCCAAGTCCCTGATCCATATAGTAGCACTGACTTCACATTGGAGTTGAAAATCTGGATTTTATTTTTCATGCTGAATGCTGTCGACTTCCACACAGACTTGAGAGTAACGGAAGCTTGGCTTACTTTCCTGATCCTCACTTTGGCATCCTCATCAGTTCCCAAGTAGGTAAGGGAGGCTGCTTCTTTCACATTTCTCTGATTTACGCTGACTGTTGTCTGCTGTTGCCCAGGAATCTTCATTACCTCTATTTTCTCTATGTTCACCTGAAGTCCTATCTTTGATGCTTCTTCTGTCAACTTGTTCCTTTTCACTTGCATATCTTCCGGTAATAGCGAAGTAGTTACCAAATCACCTCTTGATCGACACAGTCTAAGGCCTTTCCATAGTCAATGAAGTTGAGATAGAGAGGTGACTTCCATTCCAAGCTCTATTCAATGATGATCCGTAGTGTTGCGATTTGATCGATGCATGTATTGAATCCGTTGACCTATCTAAATTTTTATCCCATATCCAATATTATTTTTTCACTTTTCTATTTGTTTTAATCCTCCGGTTATATCCTTAGATAACAGCGTGCTCCCATTAGCCATCAACCTACCTCCGTGCATTTCTTGAAGCAAATGAAGAAAAATTAACCTCAGGATGTCGAACGTCATACAGACAGAACAACACTGAGTCACAGGATATTGCTATCAATTATTACTTTACGTGAAAATCCTGAGTGGAAAGTGAATATTTTGCATTAAAACAGATTCACAGAAAATACCCATCCAGACATGAATATATATAAGAAAAACAAAGTTCAGAGAATAGTCTCTTTTCGGCGGCGAATACATTCACTTAGCCGTACAATCACGTTTACATATATATATATATATATATATCGTGTGTGTGTACATTAGGGTTATTGTTTACGTCATCAAAATGTTTCTAAAATCTGATGAATAGTCAAAATTGTAACTGGTAGGGGAGGGGGTGTGAAGATTGGTAAGCACTGACAAGGATTGCGTAATATAAAAAGGATGTTAATGAGAACACGTGTGCCAAAAATAAATCATGTGATAGGTAGAAAGACTAAGTAAGAGGCTGGTTAAGAAGAAGATGTGACTACTAAGGTGCCATTCAAAAATTCAGAAAATAATAAAGAAAACAAAACATTACTTGCGAAATCGTAGAACTTGGAATTATACCAAAGATAGAAGGAGGAGGTGGTGGGGAAGGTTCTTCTGTGTGCATAAGACAGGATTTTCAATCCGGATCGCCGAAAAGTGACACTTCGCTGAATTTTTTTGTTCTTAAAACAGATTGACAATTTTCTATTGTGTGCAAACAAACTGTCCAGAATGAAGATATTTTTTATATTGTTATATGATCAGGAGCATAGTTTTAACTACGGATAGTGCGGATTAAGATGTGAAAACTGGAATCGGAAAGCCAAGACACATCTTCATCACTCTAAAATTAGTTTAAACGTTTTCTGCACTCGCCGCAAAGAGCGAAATCCAAATTTTCAACAAAAATTTTGAGTCAATTCTGCTGTATGCTTCAGATATGTCTCAGAAATATACCAACAACCACCTTCGCTCGATAGTGGGGGTCAGACGGTTGAACAGAAAGAATCAGCAACAAGAAACTCTGCAAACGAATCAATTTAGAATATATCAACCAACAAGTCTTTCAAAAATAATAGCTGAGATGGATGACAGTGGGCATGAAACAATGGCACTAGCAACCATACAATAAACAGAATGTGTATATAATATAAAGTAGTGTAAAGTAGGACATCAACTGCTATATTTTTTCATGAATTCATGACGCTATATACTAATGACTGATTTACATGAGTAGTTGCACACCACTCACATCAAAAAATAGTACCTGCTAGGCAGATCTAAGTGATCCGACCACCGGATAGCATTTTCGCTCATTTGAAGTTGAGCTTATCATTGGGAATATCCGGTCTAACTCATCTCAGAGACCCAAATCAATTCAAATAACACGCTTTCTAGCTGGCTATTTAGACGAACTAGTAATCCCACTAATCATATTCGCAATTTGCAGATAAAATTTTAATTTACACAGTTCGAGGAGGTGGAATTCATCCACATTCTCCTGTGGAAGCCGAAGTTATTCAGACAACAATATCTAATCTACTTGATACCACAAATGGCAATCAAGAAGGAAAATAAAGACGCACGACGCTGTATACTACCGATTGATTGATGCAAGAAGTTGTACACCACTCAAATCAGTTTAATTGTTTGCGAATTGCAAACTTGATTTCGACGTTTATAGCAAAATTCCGTATTTTTTTACAATACGACATAATTTCTTCACTAAATCATCAACAATACTTGGTGTTATTTGTCAATAACGTCAGGTCATTCAGCTCTTCTATATAGTCTACACCCAGTGTGTGCATCACCAAAAGCATTCCCAACAGGCTACTACAGACTTCTATCACTAGCTGCCTTCGTAAGTTCCATGCGGATGATCAGATTACCAACCAGAAAGGATAAGCGACAAGAAACTCTGGGAACGAATCAACCGACAACTTACCCCCTAAAAGTTGTTATACTAAAGAAATAGGAGATGAATTGGACATACTCTGAGGGGACAGTTGAATGATATCATACGCCAGGGT